TCCCTTTCCACTCAAGAAACAAATTAAAGATCAGCCCAAGCTTCGTCTTGAGACAAAGCTCAACGCCTTAAGCCATATTGATGCTCTGTGCACAGAGCATTCTCTCTCTCAAATCATATACACTGATGGTTCCCTACACCGCACCACGGGTGCAGCTGGAAGTGCAGTTGTTCTGACAATGGGCGATGTTAATTGCATATTTTGAGTGGGGAGTTCGAATAAATAACTGGGCCTCTACCCTTCAGACCAAACTATTTGCCTTGATTCTTGCACTGAAATGTGTACAAGTCTTCAAACTTGATATATTAATTGTTGACCAGACCACACACTAGAAATTGAAGGGACGACGATGTTTCGGTCCGTCCTGGACCATTCTCAAGTCGATCAAGAATCGACTTGAGAATGGTCCAGGACGGACCGAAACGTCGTCGTCCCTTCAATTTCTAGTGTGTGGTCTGGTCAACATACTTCAGCCACGTTATTGTGACTCATCGCCTGCATATTAATTGTGACTCCTTATCATCCTTAATTGCGCTCAACTCTTTAAGATATAACTATAACAGCTCGTGTCTGAAGCTAGACACAAATACAAGAAAATTATTAATGATGGTAACAGTCCATTTCATGTGGTCTCCATCTCATGTTGGCCTCCGAATGCATGATAGAGCTGATGAGTTACCGAAAGAATCTGCCTTTAAAGGAGAAATTGAGAATAACCTTGGATTGCCAATAAGCAATCTGAGAGCGATAGTATAGTATTCTAAGAACTTCAACAAAACCTTGTAGTTCTGAGACAAAGTGAAATCGACACCAGTATTTCCACCTATCATCATACTATCATGCAAGAGGAGCCACACATCTATGGATCATCCAATAAAATCAGCTGACTTTTAGATGTTACTACTGCTCGGTTTAGACTCGGTTACAAGTATCTCTGGGAATTTTCATTGTCTGCTGATGTAGACCTGACCAAATGTTAACTGTATCAACAAAATTATTTGCACACCCTCCGTCACAATGTTGACCAGAAACATTAGAAATACGAATGGAAAGAGAATCCTGTAAGCGAGATAACCGGACAGAAAGAGGGAGGTGGTGAAGAGGAACAGGAACCGCAGGAGGGGTAAAAGTTAAAGCACGACAGAGGCGAGAGGAAGGATGTTGTAAGGACCGCGCAAGATAGCGAAGACAGTAGCGATCATGGCGGTCCTGGAGAGACAGGAAGCCAGTGTCAACATACAAGCTAAGAACAGGGAGTCGAACGAAAGGCACCAGAACTGAGGTGAACTGTTTCACCATACTGGGTGAACTTTGCACCCAATATGGTGCAAAGCATCAAGACGGCGAAGAGTAGACGGAGAAGCAGACGAGTAAGCAGGGCAACCATAATCGAGCTTAGACAGGACGAGAGAGGAATGTAAAGTAAGGAGAGTGCGCCTATCCGCTCCCCAAGAAGTATGGGACAATACCCGAAGGAGGGTAAGGGCCTTAGAGCACTCAACATGGAGGTAAGAGATATGGGGAAACAAAGACAAACGAGTGTCAAGGAATAACCCCAAAAGCTTTGCAGAATCTTTGTACTCAATGGGATGACCATAAAGTGACAAAGAGGAACGAAGAACAACCCGTTTCCGAGTAAAAGTCATGGCACAAGTCTTAGTAGTAGAGAACTTGAAGCCATGATCGGTGGCCCAGGACGACACGGCAATTCCACGACCAAGAGACGGCTTCCTGAACCTTGCAGGAATCAACCTCACTGAGGACCAAGTCACTCTCCTAAATCTGGGTATAAACTGTCACGTTATGTCCAGACCAAGTGAGATGGCCCGGAAAGTGGAGTTGGAGATTCTGTTGGACGACATATTCGACCTCGAGGCACAAAAGAAGGTCACCACCAAAGACACCTTACAAGCAGAACTTATTGCGGAAGGAGGAAAGAATCGAGGCAACTACAGAAGCACCATACTGTCCCCCGAGCTCAAAGCGGCAGCTAAGAGCCTTCGTGAGAACAAGGAGATAGTTGTCAGGAGAGGTGACAAGTCGCCAATATACGTCATTCTTAAAAAAGACGAATATCTGGCGAAAATGAACCTCATACTCTCTGACCAAACTAAATTCCAAAGGGTAATGAAGGACACTACAGCCGAATTGCAAGCAAAGGTCAACAAATTGATCGAAACTGTGAACGCCAAGAAATCCGGACTCCACCTGCCAAAGATTATTGGGGAATATAAACCTGGATATGCGTATGGAAATGTCAAGACACATAAGCCTGGAAACCCACTTCGGCCAATCATCAGCCAGATACCCACACCCACCTACAGACTGGCGAAACGACTCAATGGCTTGCTGACTCCTTATGTCCCTTGCACCTTCAGCCTGAAGTCTCCAAAGGAATTTGTTGACACTGCGGGGAACACAGGCCACAGGGATAAGAGCCTCGTTGGACGTAATCACTGTTTACCAAGTGATTCTAAAACCGTGCTCAAGAACGATAAGGAGTTGATTCCTAAGTTTTAAGTCGTTCCCCTTCTCTCCCATATCTATATGGGCTTATTAAAACACACAAACCGAATAATCCTGCAAGACCTATTATTAGTTCTGTTGGATCTGTGGCATATAGACTTTCCAAATGGCTTGTCCAAGTCTTGTCTCCAGTAGTAGGTTCCATTTCCAACTCACACATAACAAACAACTTGGACTTGGTTAACAAGTTGTCTAGTTTGAAATTAAATTATGATTTTAAACTTGTGAGTTTTGATGTGACGGCTCTGTTCACTAGGGTTCCTGTTGATGATCTGTTGTCATTCTTACAGGATCTACTCCCAAGGTATAATTTAACTTTGCCTACTAACACCATTATTGAACTTATAAAATTGTGCATTAAAGATAATTATTTCAGCTTTAATGATTCATTTTATAAACAAACATTTGGCATGGCGATGGGTAATCCCCTCTCCCCTGTTTTGAGCAATTTGTACATGGAATGTTTCGAAACAAATATCCTTCCCAGGATTTTACCCTCAAATTTGCTTTGGTACAGGTACGTTGACGATATTTTGTGCCTGTGGCCGGTTAATCATGACGAAACTGATTTTCTCAATAAAATTAATTCGCTGGTTCCATCAATTAAATTCACAATTGAGAACGAAGTGAATGGTGTTCTGCCTTTTTTAGACATCATGATTCATAGAATTGGTAGAAGTTTCAAATTCAATGTGTATAGGAAACCTACCAATGTGTGCTCGTATGTACATTTCTATTCAAATCATCATGTTCAGGTCAAGCGGGCAGTTTTTTCTGGTATGTTTCTCAGAGCACTGAGAGTTTGCAGTCCGGAATTTTTCGATGAAGAAATAGAAAATATATTTGAAATTGGGAAAAAGTTAAAATACCCAAAATCGATCTTGGATCTTGCGTTTGGCCAAGCAAAAAAGACTTTCTACAAACAGACTACTAAGTCTAAACCAGAACTGAAAAATTCGTTGGTATTACCATATTCTGAGGGTCTAGTAAATCTTGCCCCAGCCCTGAAGAACCTTAATATTAATCTAGTGTTCAAAAATGATAATACAGTTAAGTCCATGTTAATTAAGAACTCGCCCTCGTCTGTAGCAGGTTGTGTGTATTCCATCCCTTGTAATGAGTGTGCATGTGTTTACATCGGCCAGACAGGTAAATCACTTTCCTCGCGTTTAAAACAGCATTCATATGCTATTCGTACAGCCCAGCAATCCAGTGCATTGTATTTACATACCAGTTTATGTAATCATTCTATCGACTTCACAGTGGCAAAATGTATTGTTAAAAGTAAGGATTTTGTTGAACGAAATGTGATCGTGTCTGCTCTGATCAAACATTGTAACAACAGCCTTAATGTGAGCCCCGGTATGTACAAGTTGGATCCCTATTTAAGCCTCAATATAGCACGTCAAAACAATTTAGCAATCATTTAACACGTATGGCACTTGGAGATATTAATAGGAGCTGCACGTATGGGCCAATAGGCCTTCTGCAGTTACCTTCTTCCTTATAATTCCTTTCCTTCACTTATTTTAGGTGGTCAGGTGATCTGCCCAGGCGGATATAAAGGTCTGATCAGCAATCTTATCTTCATTCTACTTTGCTCTGATGAAAGCGAATTAGCCAAAAACGCGTTAAGCATTTTCTATTTTTCACATGTGGTTATTCTGCATATATATATATATATATATATATATATATATATATATATATATATATATATATATATATATATATATATATATATATATATATACAAAAAAGTGAGTGTTAATGTTTAACTATGTTGTTAAATATGACCAAAAAAGTAAGATTAATAATTCTAACACGAATTTTCTCAATATTTTTTATGTTTCTTTTTACTGTCCATGGTAATTGAAAAATCAATTCTCCAAAATTCATTTTTATTTCTAGTCTGATACGACACTTGAACGCGTTTCGTAATAACTTATTACATTTTCAAAGACTTTAGTTTACACACACACAGCTGTAACCTGAAAACACTAGAGTTTTACCTAATGCTAACATTGAACAGCTTGTCTTATATGCTCGCAGTGTTTTGACCAATGAGACTCGTTGTTACAAAGCACCTATTCATTCATAATCTAATCCATTATAACAACAACAAACGCAGCATTGCCATTCTGCACTTTCCAAGAACCTAGGGGCATTCTGCACTTTCCAAGAACTTACTTTTCCTCGACTGCTTCAGTTTGTGGTCAATATTGTTTCTTAATTGATGTCTCATAATTAATGTAACTGCTATAGGCAATACCTAATGATTTTTCTTCACTTATATTATCAGTAATGTAATCGATATAGCCGACATAAATTTCCTCGTGGCTAACTTATCCTATATAATAGTTGTTGAAATAGAAATTATGCAGTTCTTCATTCGGACAAGTGCAAGTATGACTTCATTAAAGAATGATCTGGGGGTGCATGAGGTTGTGTGGTAACGTGCAGTGTGTCGGCAGATGGAGGGGGAGATGACGGACCCCGGGTTCCCGGCCTCCCACACCACCGCCACCACCACCACCACCACCACCAGGGTCTCAGCCTACATACACTTTGATCCATCATACGTCAACATCCGCAACATCCCTGGCGTCCTCAAGTGTGCTCAGCTGGTTAGTGACCCGGTTAATGCGCCCGCTTTAACCTCTCCCCTTGTTTACTGTGACCGCTTTAACCTCTCCCCTTGTTTACTGTGACCGCTTTAACCTCTCCCCTTGTTTACTGTGACTGCTTTAACCTCTCCCCTTGTTTACTGTGACCGCTTTAACCTCTCCCCTTGTTTACTGTGACCGCTTTAACCTCTCCCCTTGTTTACTGTGGCCGCTTTAACCTCTCCCCTTGTTTACTGTGACCGCTTTAACCTCTCCCCTTGTTTACTGTGACCGCTTTAACCTCTCCCCTTGTTTACTGTGACCGCTTTAACCTCTCCCCTTGTTTACTGTGACCGCTTTAACCTCTCCCCTTGTTTACTGTGACCGCTTTAACCTCTCCCCTTGTTTACTGTGACCGCTTTAACCTCTCCCCTTGTTTACTGGGACCGCTTTAACCTCTCCCCTTGTTTACTGGGACCGCTTTAACCTCTCCCCTTGTTTACTGTGACCGCTTTAACCTCTCCCCTTGTTTACTGTGACCGCTTTAACCTCTCCCCTTGTTTACTGTGACCGCTTTAACCTCTCCCCTTGTTTACTGTGACCGCTTTAACCTCTCCCCTTGTTTACTGTGACCGCTTTAACCTCTCCCCTTGTTTACTGTGACCGCTTTAACCTCTCCCCTTGTTTACTGTGACCGCTTTAACCTCTCCCCTTGTTTACTGTGACCGCTTTAACCTCTCCCCTTGTTTACTGTGACCGCTTTAACCTCTCCCCTTGTTTACTGTGACCGCTTTAACCTCTCCCCTTGTTTACTGTGACCGCTTTAACCTCTCCCCTTGTTTACTGTGACCCTTTAACCTCTCCCCTTGTTTACTGTGACCGCTTTAACCTCTCCCCTTGTTTACTGTGGCTGCTTTAACCTCTCCCCTTGTTTACTGTGACCGCTTTAACCTCTCCCCTTGTTTACTGTGACTGCTTTAACCTCTCCCCTTGTTTACTGTGACCGCTTTAACCTCTCCCCTTGTTTACTGTGACCCTTTAACCTCTCCCCTTGTTTACTGTGACCGCTTTAACCTCTCCCCTTGTTTACTGTGGCTGCTTTAACCTCTCCCCTTGTTTACTGTGACTGCTTTAACCTCTCCCCTTGTTTACTGTGACCGCTTTAACCTCTCCCCTTGTTTACTGTGACCGCTTTAACCTCTCCCCTTGTTTACTGTGACCGCTTTAACCTCTCCCCTTGTTTACTGTGACCCTTTAACCTCTCCCCTTGTTTACTGTGACCGCTTTAACCTCTCCCCTTGTTTACTGTGACTGCTTTAACCTCTCCCCTTGTTTACTGTGGCTGCCCACTTGTACAACACATACTCATCCTGTGAGTGGTAGTTTATTGTGCACCCCATACTCATCCTGTGAGCGGTAGTTTATTGTGCACCCCATACTCATCCTGTGAGCGGTAGTTTATTGTGCACCCCATACTCATCCTGTGAGCGGTAGTTTATTGTGCACCCCATACTCATCCTGTGAGCGGTAGTTTATTGTGCACCCCATACTCATCCTGTGAGCGGTAGTTTATTGTGCACCCCATACTCATCCTGTGAGCGGTAGTTTATTGTGCACCCCATACTCATCCTGTGAGCGGTAGTTTATTGTGCACCCCATACTCATCCTGTGAGTGGTAGTTTATTGTGCACCCCATACTCATCCTGTGAGCGGTAGTTTATTGTGCACCCCATACTCATCCTGTGAGTGGTAGTTTATTGTGCACCCCATACTCATCCTGTGAGCGGTAGTTTATTGTGCACCCCATACTCATCTTGTGAGCGGTAGTTTATTGTGCACCCCATACTCATCCTGTGAGCGGTAGTTTATTGTGCACCCCATACTCATCCTGTGAGCGGTAGTTTATTGTGCACCCCATACTCATCCTGTGAGCGGTAGTTTATTGTGCACCCCATACTCATCCTGTGAGTGGTAGTTTATTGTGCACCCCATACTCATCTTGTGAGCGGTAGTTTATTGTGCACCCCATACTCATCCTGTGAGCGGTAGTTTATTGTGCACCCCATACTCATCTTGTGAGCGGTAGTTTATTGTGCACCCCATACTCATCCTGTGAGTGGTAGTTTATTGTGCACCCCATACTCATCCTGTGAGTGGTAGTTTATTGTGCACCCCATACTCATCCTGTGAGCGGTAATTTATTGTGCACCCCATACTCATCCTGTGAGTGGTAGTTTATTGTGCACCCCATACTCATCCTGTGAGCGGTAGTTTATTGTGCACCCCATACTCATCCTGTGAGCGGTAGTTTATTGTGCACCCCATACTCATCCTGTGAGCGGTAGTTTACTGTGCACCCCATACTCATCCTGTGAGCGGTAATTTATTGTGCACCCCATACTCATCCTGTGAGCGGTAGTTTATTGTGCACCCCATACTCATCCTGTGAGCGGCAGTTTACTGTGCACCCCATACTCATCCTGTGAGCGGTAATTTATTGTGCACCCCATACTCATCCTGTGAGTGGTAGTTTATTGTGCACCCCATACTCATCCTGTGAGCGGTAATTTATTGTGCACCCCATACTCATCCTGTGAGCGGTAGTTTATTGTGCACCCCATACTCATCCTGTGAGCGGTAGTTTATTGTGCACCCCATACTCATCCTGTGAGTGGTAGTTTATTGTGCACCCCATACTCATCCTGTGAGCGGTAATTTATTGTGCATCCCATACTCATCCTGTGAGCGGTAATTTATTGTGCACCTAATACTCATCCTGTGAGCGGTAATTTATTGTGCACCCCATACTCATCCTGTGAGTGGTAGTTTATTGTGCACCCCATACTCATCCTGTGAGTGGTAGTTTATTGTGCACCCCATACTCATCCTGTGAGCGGTAATTTATTGTGCACCCCATACTCATCCTGTGAGCGGTAGTTTATTGTGCACCCCATACTCATCCTGTGAGTGGTAGTTTATTGTGCACCCCATACTCATCCTGTGAGCGGTAATTTATTGTGCACCCCATTCTCATCCTGTGAGCGGTAGTTTATTGTGCACCCCATACTCATCCTGTGTGAGGTAGTTTATTGTGCACCCCATACTCATCCTGTGTGAGGTAATTTATTGTGCACCCCATACTCATCCTGTGAGCGGTAATTTATTGTGCACCCCATACTCATCCTGTGAGCGGTAGTTTATTGTGCACCCCATACTCATCCTGTGAGCGGTAGTTTATTGTGCACCCCATACTCATCCTGTGAGCGGTAGTTTATTGTGCACCCCATACTCATCCTGTGAGCGGTAGTTTATTGTGCACCCCATACTCATCCTGTGAGCGGTAGTTTATTGTGCACCCCATACTCATCCTGTGAGCGGTAGTTTATTGTGCACCCCATACTCATCCTGTGAGCGGTAATTTATTGTGCACCCCATACTCATCCTGTGAGCGGTAGTTTATTGTGCACCCCATACTCATCCTGTGAGCGGTAGTTTATTGTGCACCCCATACTCATCCTGTGAGCGGTAGTTTATTGTGCACCCCATACTCATCCTGTGAGCGGTAGTTTATTGTGCACCCCATACTCATCCTGTGAGCGGTAGTTTATTGTGCACCCCATACTCATCCTGTGAGCGGTAATTTATTGTGCACCCCATACTCATCCTGTGAGCGGTAGTTTATTGTGCACCCCATACTCATCCTGTGAGCGGTAGTTTATTGTGCACCCCATACTCATCCTGTGAGCGGTAGTTTATTGTGCACCCCATACTCATCCTGTGAGTGGTAGTTTATTGTGCACCCCATACTCATCCTGTGAGAGGTAGTTTATTGTGCACCCCATACTCATCCTGTGAGCGGTAGTTTATTGTGCACCCCATACTCATCCTGTGAGCGGTAGTTTATTGTGCACCCCATACTCATCCTGTGAGCGGTAGTTTATTGTGCACCCCATACTCATCCTGTGAGCGGTAGTTTATTGTGCACCCCATACTCATCCTGTGAGTGGTAGTTTATTGTGCACCCCATACTCATCCTGTGAGTGGTAGTTTATTGTGCACCCCATACTCATCCTGTGAGCGGTAGTTTATTGTGCACCCCATACTCATCCTGTGAGAGGTAGTTTATTGTGCACCCCATACTCATCCTGTGAGCGGTAGTTTATTGTGCACCCCATACTCATCCTGTGAGCGGTAGTTTATTGTGCACCCCATACTCATCCTGTGTGAGGTAGTTTATTGTGCACCCCATACTCATCCTGTGTGAGGTAGTTTATTGTGCACCCCATACCATCCTGTGTGAGGTAGTTTATTGTGCACCCCATACCATCCTGTGTGAGGTAGTTTATTGTGCACCCCATACTCATCCTGTGACCGGTAGTTTATTGTGCACCCCATACTCATCCTGTGACCGGTAGTTTATTGTGCACCCCATACTCATCCTGTGTGAGGTAGTTTATTGTGCACCCCATACTCATCCTGTGTGAGGTAGTTTATTGTGCACCCCATACTCATCCTGTGTGAGGTAGTTTATTGTGCACCCCATACCATCCTGTGTGAGGTAGTTTATTGTGCACCCCATACCATCCTGTGTGAGGTAGTTTATTGTGCACCCCATACCATCCTGTGTGAGGTAGTTTATTGTGCACCCCATACTCATCCTGTGTGAGGTAGTTTATTGTGTCTTTTTCATTTTAAGAACTTTTTTTTCCCCACAAGTACTACAACTCACCCACAACAACCACAATTCTCGCACAACAACCACAACTCTCCCATAACAACCTCAGCTCTCTAACAACAACCACAACCCTCCCATAACCCCCACAACTCTCCCACAGCTCTCTCACAATGATCGCAAATCTCTTACATGAACCTCAACCCTTCTAGAGCTACAATAACTATCCCACAATAGTCACAACACTCTCCCATGAGCAATAACTCTCACAGACCTTCCACACCTCTCAAATAGCTCCCACAATATTTCCAGAGCTCCCACAACATTTCCAGAGCTCCCACAACATTTCCAGAGCTCCCACAATATTTCCAGAGCTCCCACAACATTTCCAGAGCTCCCACAACATTTCCAGAGCTCCCACAATATTTCCAGAGCTCCCACAACATTTCCAGAGCTCCCACAATATTTCCAGAGCTCCCACAATATTTCCAGAGCTCCCACAACATTTCCAGAGCTCCCACAATATTTCCAGAGCTCCCACAATATTTCCAGAGCTCCCACAATATTTCCAGAGCTCCCACAACATTTCTAGAGCTCCCACAACATTTCTAGAGCTCCCACAATATTTCTAGAGCTCCCACAATATTTCTAGAGCTCCCACAACATTTCTAGAGCTCCCACAATATTTCTAGAGCTCCCACAACATTTCTAGAGCTCCCACAATATTTCCAGAGCTCCCACAATATTTCCAGAGCTCCCACAATATTTCCAGAGCTCCCACAATATTTCCAGAGCTCCCACAACATTTCTAGAGCTCCCACAACATTTCTAGAGCTCCCACAATATTTCTAGAGCTCCCACAACATTTCTAGAGCTCCCACAATATTTCCAGAGCTCCCACAACATTTCTAGAGCTCCCACAACATTTCTAGAGCTCCCACAATATTTCTAGAGCTCCCACAACATTTCTAGAGCTCCCACAATATTTCCAGAGCTCCCACAACATTTCTAGAGCTCCCACAATATTTCTAGAGCTCCCACAACATTTCTAGAGCTCCCACAATATTTCCAGAGCTCCCACAACATTTCTAGAGCTCCCACAATATTTCTAGAGCTCCCACAACATTTCTAGAGCTCCCACAATATTTCTAGAGCTCCCACAACATTTCTAGAGCTCCCACAATATTTCTAGAGCTCCCACAACATTTCTAGAGCTCCCACAACATTTCTAGAGCTCCCACAACATTTCTAGAGCTCCCACAATATTTCTAGAGCTCCCACAATATTTCCAGAGCTCCCACAATATTTCCAGAGCTCCCACAATATTTCTAGAGCTCCCACAACATTTCTAGAGCTCCCACAATATTTCTAGAGCTCCCACAACATTTCTAGAGCTCCCACAACATTTCTAGAGCTCCCACAACATTTCCAGAGCTCCCACAACATTTCCAGAGCTCCCACAACATTTCCAGAGCTCCCACAACATTTCCAGAGCTCCCACAATATTTCCACAACATCCACAACTCTCCCACAACAACCACAACTCTCTCACAACAACCACAACTCTCTCACAACAACCACAACTCTCTCACAACAACCACAACTCTCTCACAACAACCACAACTCTCTCACAACAACCACAACTCTCCCACAACAACCACAACTCTCCCACAACAACCACAACTCTCCCACAACAACCACAACTCTCCCACAACAACCACAACTCTCCCACAACAACCACAACTCTCCCACAACAACCACAACTCCCCCAAAGCACCCACAACTCCCCCACAACAACCACAACTCCCCCACAACAACCACAACTCTCCCACAACAACCACAACTCTCCCACAACAACCACAACTCTCCCACAACAACCACAACTCTCCCACAACAACCACAACTCCCCCACAACAACCACAACTCCCCACAACAACCACAACTCCCTAACAACAACCACAACTCCCCCACAACAACCACAACTCTCCGACAGCAGCCACAACTCCCCCACAACAACCACAACTCCCCCACAACAACCACAACTCTCCTGCAGCAGCCACAACTCCCCCACAACAACCACAACTCTGCCACAACATCCACAACTCTCCAACAACAACCACAACTCGCCCACAACAACCACAACTCCCCAACAACAACCACAACTCTCCGACAGCAACCACAACTGACCCACAACAACCACATCTGCCCCACAAGAACCACAACTCTCCCACAACAACCACAACTCTCCCACAACAACCACAACTCTCCCACATCATCCACAACTCTCCCACAACAACCACAACTCTCCCACAGCAACCACAACTCTCACACAACAACCACAACTCTCCTACAACATCCACATCTCCCCCACAACAACCACAACTCTCCCAAAGCACCCACAACTCTTCTACAGCAGCCACAACTCCCCCACAACAACCACAACTCTCCTACAGCAGCCACAACTTCCCCACAACCACAACTCCCCCACAACAACCACATCTACCTTATAACAACCACAACTCCCCCATAACTCGTTGACAGCTGCCATATTAACGTGCCGACAGGTGTTCAACTTGATCGGGTACATCTGCGTGGCGGTGTCGACCTACAACAGCAGTTCTCACGCCAACTGGTTCTCCTTCGTGTCGATGACCGGGTTCTGGGTGACAGGTATACTGCTGTTGCTCTACCTCATGCACGTCATCGAGAGGTTCTTCATGGTGCCCTGGCTCATGTTGGTATGTTGTGTTGTGTTGTGTGTTGTGGGGTGTTGTTGTGTGTTGTGGTGTGTTATTGTGTGTTGTGGGGGGCTGGAGTGTGTTGTGGGGGGCTGGAGTGTGTTGTGGGGGTGTTGTGTGTGTTGTGGTGTGTTGTGTGTATGTGTTGTGGTGTGTTGTGGGGTGTTGTTGTGTGTGTGTTGTAGGGTGTTGTGTTGTGGGGTGTGTGGTGTGTTGGTGTGTTGTGGTATGTGTTGTGGTGTGTGTAGGGTGTTGTGTGTGTTGTGGGGGCTGGAGTGTGTTGTGGGGTGTTGTGGTGTGTTGAAGTGTGTTGTGGTATGTGTTGTGGTGTGTTGTGGTGTGTTGTAGGGTGTTGTGATGTGTTGTAGGGGGCTGGAGTGTGTTGTGGTGTGTTGTGGTGTGTTGTGGTGTGTTGTGGGGTGTTGTGGGGTGTTGTGGTGTGTTGTGGTGTGTTGTGGTGTGTTGTGGTGTGTTGTGGTGTGTTGTTGTGTGTTGTGGTGTGTTGTGGTGTGTTGTGGTGTGTTGTGACGTGTTGTGGGGTGTTGTGTGTGTGGTGTGTTGTAGTGTGTTGTGGCGTGTTGTGGTACGTTATAATGTGTTGTGGTGTGTTGTGGTGTGTTGTGGTGTGTTGTGGTGTGTTGTGGTGTGTTGTGGTGTGTTGTGGTGTGTTGTGGTGTGTTGTGGTGTGTTGTGGTGTGTTGTGGTGTGTTGTGGTGTGTGTTGTGGTGTGTTGTGTCGTGTTGTGGTGTGTTGTGGTGTGTGTGTGTGTGGTGTGTGTGTTGTGTGTGTGTGTGGTGGTGTTGTGGTGTGTTGTGGTGTGTTGTTGTGTGTTGTGGTGTGTTGTGGTGTGTTGTGGTGTGTTGTGGTGTGTTGTGACGTGTTGTGGTGTGTTGTGGTGTGATGTGGTGTGTTGTGGTGTGTTGTGGTGTGTTGTGGTGTGTTGTGGTGTGGTGTGGTGTGTTGTGGGATGTTGTGGTATGTTGTGGGGTGTTGTGGTGTATTGTGGTGTGTTGTGGTGTGTTGTGGTGTGTTAATGTGTGTTGTAGTGTGTTGTGGTGTGTTGTGTTGTGTTGTGTTGTGTTGTGTGTGTGTTGTGGTGTGTTGTGGTGTGTTGTGTTGTGGTGTGTTGTGTTGTGTTGTGTTGTGGTGTGTTGTGTGGTGTGTTGTGGTGTGTTGTGGTGTGTTGTGGTGTGTTGTGGTGTGTTGTGTTGTGGTGTGTTGTGGTGTGTTGTGGTGTGTTGTGGTGTGTTGTGGTGTGTGTGTGTGTTGTGGTGTGTTGTGGTGTGTTGTGGTGTGTTGTGGTGTGTTGGTGTGTTGTGGTGTGTTGTGTGTGTGTGGGGTGTTGTTGGGTGTTGTTGGGTGTTGTGGTGTGTTGTGGTGTGTTGTGGTGTGTTGTGGTGTGTTGTGGTGTGTTGTAGTGTGTTGTAGTGTGTTGTGGTGTGTTGTGGTGTGTTGTGGTGTGTTGTGATGTGTTGTGGTGTGTTAATGTGTGTTGTTGTGTGTTGTGGGGTGTTGTAGTGTGTTGTGGTATGTTGTGGTGTGTTGTAGTGTGTTGTAGTATGTTGTAGTGTGTTGTGGTGTGTTGTGGTGTGTTGTAGTGTGTTGTGGTACGTTATAATGTGTTGTAGTGTGTTGTGGTGTGTTGTGGTGTGTTGTAGTGTGTTGTAGGGTGTTGTGGTGTGTTGTGTGTGTTGTGTGTGTGTGGTGTGTTGTGGTGTGTTGTGTGTGTTGTGGTGTGTGTGGTGTGTGTGTTGTGGTGTGTTGTGGTGTGTTGTGGTGTGTTGTGGGGTGTTGTCGTTTGTTGTGGTATGTTGTGGTGTGTTGTGGTGTGTTAATGTGTGTTGTGGTGTGTTTTGGTGTGTTGTGGTGTGTTGTGGTATGTTCTGGTGTGTTGTAGTGTGTTGTAGTGTGTTGTGGTGTGTTGTGGGGTGTTGTTGGGTGTTGTGGTGTGTTGTGGTGTGTTGTAATGTGTTGTGATGTGTTGTGGTGTGTTGTGGTGTGTTAATGTGTGTTGTGGTGTGTTGTGGTGTGTTCTGGTGTGTTGTAGTGTGTTGTAGTGTGTTGTGGTGTGTTGTGGGGTGTTGTTGGGTGTTGTGGTGTGTTAATGTGTTGTGGGGTGTGTGGTGTGTTCTGGTGTGTTGTAGTGTGTTGTGGTGTGTTGTGGGGTGTTGTGGTGTGTTGTGATGTGTTGTGGTGTGTTAATGTGTGTTGTTGTGTGTTGTGGGGTGTTGTGGTGTGTTGTGGTATGTTGTGGTGTGTTGTAGTGTGTTGTGGTGTGTTGTGGTGTGTTGTGGTGTGTTGTGGTGTGTTGTGGGGTGTTGTGGGGTGTTGTGGTGTGTTGTGGTGTGTTGTGGTGTGTTGTGGGGTGTTGTGGTGTGTTGTGGTGTGTTGTGGGGTGTTGTGGGGTGTTGTGGTGTGTTGTGGTGTGTTGTGGTGTGTTGTGGTGTGTTGTGGTGTGTTGTGGTGTGTTGTGTGTGTGTTGTGGTGTGTTGTGGTGTGTTGTGGTGTGTTGTGGTGTGTGTTGTGGTGTGTTGTGGTGTGTTGTGGTGTGTTGTGGTGTGTTGTAGTGTGTTGTGGTGTGTTGTGGTGTGTTGTGGTGTGTTGTGGTGTGTTGTCGTGTGTTGTGGGGTGTTGTTGTGTGATGTGGTGTGTTGTGGTGTATTGTGGTGTGTTGTGGAGTGTTGTAGTGTGTTGTGGTGTGTTGTGGTGTGTTGTGGTGTGTTGTGGAGTGTTGTGGTGTGTTGTGGTGTGTTGTGGTGTGTTGTGGTGTGTTGTGGTGTGTTGTGGTGTGTTGAGTTGTGTTAATGTGTGTTGTGGTGTATTGTGGTGTATTGTGGTGTGTTGTGGTGTGTTGTGCTGTGTTGTAGTGTGTTGTGTTGTGTTGTGGTGTGTTGTGGTGTGTTGTGGTGTGTTGTGGTGTGTTGTGGTGTGTTGTGGTGTGTTGTGGTGTGTTGTGGTGTGTTGTGGTGTGTTGTGGTGTGTTGTGTGTGTTGTGGTGTGTTGGTGTGTGTGTGTGTGTGTGTTGTGTTGTGGTGTGTGTGTGGTGTGTTGTAGTGTGTTGTGGTGTGTTGTGGTGTGTTGTGGTGTGTTGTGGTGTGTTGTGGTGTGTTGTGGTGTGTTAATGTGTGTTGTGGTGTGTTGTGGTGTGTTGTGGTGTGTTGTGGTGTGTTGTGGTGTGTTGTAGTGTGTTGTGGTGTGTTGTGGTGTGTTGTGGTGTGTTAATGTGTGTTGTGGTGTGTTGTTGTGTGTTGTGGTGTGTTGTGGTGTGTTGTGGTGTGTTGTAGTGTGTTGTGGTGTGTTGTGGTGTGTTAATGTGTGTTGTGATGTGTTGTAGTATATTGTGCTGTGTTGTGGTGTGTTGTTGTGTGTTGTAGTGTGTTGTGGTGTGTTGTAGTGTGTTGTGGTGTGTTGTGGTGTGTTGTGTGTGTTGTGGTGTTGTGGTGTGTTGTGGTGTGTTGTGGTGTGTTGTGGTGGTGTTGTGGTGTGTTGTGGTGTGTTGTGGTGTGTTGTGGTGTGTTGTGATGTGTTGTAGTGTTGTAGTATATTGTGGTGTGTTATGGTATGTTGTGGGGTGTTGTAGTGTGTAGTGTGTTGTGGTGTGTTGTGGTGTGTTGTGGTGTGTTGTGGTGTGTGTGTGTGGTGTGTGTTGTGGTGTGTGTGTGTGTGTTGTGGTGTGTTGTGTGTGTGTGTGTGGTGTGTTGTGGTGTGTTGTGGTGTGTTGTGGTGTGTTGTGGTGTGTGTGTGTGTTGTGGTGTGTGTGTGGTGTGTTGTGGTGTGTTGTGGGTGTTGTGTGTGTGTGTTGTGGTGTGTGTGTGTGTGTGTGGTGTGTTGTGGTGTGTTGTGGTGTGTTGTGTGTGTGTGTGGTGTGGTGGTGTTGTGGTGTGGTGTGTGTGTGTGTTGTGGTGTGTGTTGTGTGTGTGTGGTGTGTGTGTGTGTGTTGTGTGTGTGTTGTGGTGTGTTGTGGTGTGTTGTGGTGTGTGTGTGTGGTGTGTGTGTGTGTTCTGGTGTGTTGTGTTGTGTGTGTGTGTTGTGGTGTGTGTGTGGTGTGTTGTGGTGTGTTGTGGTGTGTGTGTGGTGTGTTGTGGTGGTGTGGTGTGGTGTGTTGTGTTGTGTGGTGTGGTGTTGTGTGTGTTGTGGTGTGTTGTATTGTGTTGTGGTGTGTGTGTGTGTGGTGTGTGTGTTGTGGTGTGTTGTGGTGTGTTGTGGTGTGTGTGTTGTGGTGTGTTGTGTGTGTGTTGTGTTGTGTGTGTTGTGGTGTGTTGTGGTGTGTGTTGTTGTGTTGTGGTGTGTTGTGTTGTGTGTTGTGGTGTGTTGTGGTGTGTTGTAATGTGTCTGTGTGGGGTGTTGTGGTGTGTTGTGGTGTGTGTGTGGTGTGTTGTGGTGTGTGTGGTGTGTGTTGTGGTGTGTTGTGGTGTGTTGTGGTGTGTTGGGTGTGTTGTGGTGTGTTGTGGTGTGTGTGTTGTGGTGTGTTGTGGTGTGTGTTGTGGTGTGTTGTGGTGTGTGTGTTGTGGTGTGTTGTGGTGTGTTGTGGTGTGTGTGTTGTGTGTGTGTGTGTGTGTTGTGGTGTTGTGGTGTGTTGTGGTGTGTTGTGGTGTTGTGGTGTGTTGTGGTGTGTTGTGGTGTGTTGTGGTGTGTTGTGGTGTGTGTGGTGTGTTGTGGTGTGTTGTGTGTGTGTTGTGGTGTGTTGTGGGTGTTGTGGTGTGTTGTGTGTGTGTGTTGTGTGTGTTGTGTGTTGTGGTGTGTTGTGGTGTGTTGTGGTGTGTTGTGGTGTGTTAATGTGTGTTGTGGTGTGTTGTGGTGTGTTGTGGTGTGTTGTGGAGTGTTGTGGTGTGTTGTGGTGTGTTGTGGTGTGTTAATGTGTGTTGTGGTGTGTTGTGGTGTGTTGTGGTGTGTTGTGGTGTGTTGTGGTGTGTTGTGGTGTGTTGTGGGGTGTTGTGGTGTGTTGTGGTGTGTTGTGGTGTGTGTGGTGTGTGTGTGGTGTGTTGTGGTGTGTTGTGGTG